TCCTTAATATATATTGTTGAGATTCCGGCATGAATAGATGGTGTATACCAGATATATCAGGCATGAATCAGTCAGCGTACATCCTTCCATGAAGAGTATAGTTCGGGTAAAATTCTGTCATTTAAATAGGGTCTCTTTCTCAATGAGAAAGAGATCAGACTTAAACCACCTCTCTAGAATAGGTCAAATTCATGCCGTCTTGGGTTATATATCGCCAATTTCAACATACGGTACGCGCTAGTTCTACAATAGACCAATGGTCGGCCTTGATATCATAGAATGAGTGTATTTTTCTAGGACAAGCTGATGCTGCGATATATAACTGTTGTTGTTCGGAGGTATGAATTGACTTGTTATTTCAGAGGGATACATGAGCCTATATATACACCAATTAGCCAAGTTGATTGGAAATAAACTTGGTCGTCTGTATAGACACTTCGGAGCTAATTCCGACGGTGCGGCTTGGTTCCTGATCTGCACCAGCCTCATATCACAACACTCCCGTGTCTTTCAGTGCTCCCACCGTGAGGAGATTCATCACCGTAATATTTCTAACATCTAGGACAAAGGATAATTCTGGATAGGCAACCCTCGCCATCTTCTTGCAATGTCCCGGAACCCTGCCAGATCGAGTCAAACTGGCTGGTTCCAGGTAACGTAATTCACCGTCGGACGGAACACACCATCGGGCGGAACACCGCCCCACAGGACGCGCCAAGAACGCGTTCTCCATGCCACCAATTCGTAATAAAAGAAGCCAAAAATTGCTGGAGCAGGAGGGTAGGATTGGATTCGCCATAAACGCCCTAAACAAGCAGAAAGTTGGCTCTATTGGTGAGGCAGCTCGCGTTTACGACGTACCTGTCTCCACGCTCTACGGACGCGTCCAGGGCCGCGTTTCATTGCTTGGATACGCGCCCTAATCGCTCTACCTTGACTCCATTAGAGGAAGAATCACTTGTTAAATGGATTCTCGACCTCGACTTCCGTGGAACAACTCCACGACAATGTATGGTACGAGAATTGGCCGATTTGCTACTCGCCGAGCGCGTGTCGGGGTCGGCATCAAACCCAGCACCAAAAGTCGGCCCAAACTGGGTAACCCGCTTTGTACGACACCAGCCAGAGCTCCGAAGCCGATTCTCAGGCAAATACGACTATCGACGAGCTCAAAACGAGGATCCAGCGGCTATTCAGGCGTGGTTTGACAGAGTCCAACATACGATTACTCAGTACGGCATCACATCTGCAGATACCTATAATTTCGACGAAACTGGCTTCGCGATGGGCATCACATCGACTAGTAAATTCGTCACCCGAGCAGAATACTACGGTCGGCGAGCCGTAATCAACCAGGGAACCGCGAGTGGGTGACGGCGATCGAGTGTATTGGCGGTGGCATCGCGCTTCCGCCGTATATCATCTTAAAAGCCAAGGTTTTCATCAAAAAGTGTTACCTACCTCCAGGACGGCTGGAGAGTGAATGTCAGTGCTAATGGATGGACAACCGACGAAATTGGGGTCGATTGGCCACAAACGTGCTTTATTCCGGAGACAAAAAGCCGTCGACAAGGTCGATGGCTACTTTTAATACTTGACGGCCACAAGGGTCATTTGACGCCTCAATTCGATCAATTATGCTTTAAGTACGATATCGTTCCAATCTGTATGCCCGCGCACTTGTCGCATATCCTACAGCCACTTGATGCTGGCTGTTTTGCGACGCTAAAGCAGGCGTACGGTCGAATCGTCGATCGGTGGATGCGCGCAGGTATCGACCACGTCGACAAGCTCGAATTCCTATCGAACTATCCCGAGGCTCGATCGGAGGCATTCACGTTTGAAACTATTCAAAGTAGCTTCACAGGGACCGGTTTACTACCGTATAATCCTGCGGTAGTGCTTGAGAAATTGACGATTCGCATCCGCACACCTACCCCCCTAGTAGCCGAGGGAGTAGCATTTTAGCACCACAAACGCCATATAACCCTCGGAAGCTACTCCGGCAGGTATCATCGATCAAAGCTAATTTAAAGCAGCGCTCGAATAGCCCTCCAAGCCCCATCAAAACGGCTCTAGAGCAGGTATTCAAAGGGTGCGAGATAGTGATGCACAACGCGGCCTTTTTAGCACGCCAGAATGAACAATTGCGCGCCGCAAACCACAAGCAGCGTATGCATCGTGGCTTATCCGATCGTCAAGCAGCGCACAAAGGTAGTTTGGATGTTAAAGAGGCTACAGCGCTGATGGGAGAGCCGACCGAAGTATATGTATCGACGTCGCAAAGCGCGCCCGACCAAGACAAAACGGGCGCTCGGGCACCAACCAGGGCACCGAAGCGATGTAGCGGCTGTCGGAGCCTAGATCATACGTATAATAGATGCCCTGTAAGATAACGGTCAATTTAATGGCGTTTTAGTGGAGTTATACAAGTTCTTAGTAGGAGACATGAGATTGATGTTCCGCCGGATGGTGTGTTCCGTCCGATGGTGAATTACGTTATTACTGTTATTTAACGTAACGTATTTCCCGGTCGAGCTGCGCACCCGGCCGAGCTGCGCACCCCAAAACACCATATTAAATGCGATATTTTAGAACCGTATATCTCGACAACGACAAGCTTGCCCTATTTCATATCTAGTATATTGGGTATTCAGGATGTAATAAACTCTATATAAGAGTTTAAGGTAGATTCAATGATTCTTTTATTCCGTTTCAATAAAATACACTGTATTTTAACTATTTCAGCTAGAAATATATATCATTCAACAATCACACCTCTAAGATTCAGTGGGGCCCTAGAATCATGCGAGACATGCTACAAAGTGTTTAAAATTACCAAAAGACCCCATAATAGCCTATGGTTGTTAAGATATGAAGTTGTAATTTATCGCATTTAATATGGTGTTTTGGGGTGCGCAGCTCGGCCGGGTGCGCAGCTCGACCGGGAAATACGTTAACCTTGTACTGGTCACAAATATACTCAATCCTTTTTTTCTTTATTGTCAACAAAAGAGGGTCGCCATTTTACTAGTGCGCCCGAGGAATATCCAGCACCCCCTCTGCCTGATGATCGTAACTAAGGCTCTCAACGACGTTACTAAGCTCATCCCCTATTTATTCTGCACTTTCTATAGTATACAAGAATCACACTCTCAAGTACTCAATTGGCTATGCCCGTACTAGTCCGTACTGTAACGACCACGTTCCAACACCAGGCTATGCCTGAGGTGACAGCATTCAGCATCGTCTACTATTCTTGGATGCTCCTACCGAGCACTCCACCGTGGCATTTTGCCAGATTCAGCCTGTAAATCTGCGACAGTTCTTCATACCGTTCTTACCACTCGTTCTCTCTCGTTCTCTCTCACAGATTGTCAGATAGCATCGTTAGCAGAATAGCTATATCCATAGTAGCTCTCTGCAGCTTCATATTGCCTTTTCTTCCACCTCCGATTGGCTGACTTGTGTGGCCAACCGCCAGGCAGATCCACCCCGTTCTTCATGGTAGCATGTCTGAGAACTGATATTGAGCGAATCGATAGCGAGATACGCATCAGATCGGACGAATTGCGAATTGAGGATACGGAATCGGTTCAATCATTTCAGGGCAAACGCTCTAAAGCGATAGCGGGAGGCAGAATCGGCTTCGATAGCGAGATCAAAATCGATTAATCGGACTTGCAAGATGTCGGAATTGTTAACCGATATGAATTCAGTAGTCTTGGGGAATCATATGGTTTGGGACAACTGGATTAGTGAGGTTAGAGTGAAGGCAATCGGGCACGTTTTGCTAGAAGTCCTTCCTTTGCGGCTGTTCGGAGATATATTCATGAAATCTATTATTCGCGGACGAACTAATAGCTCATGTCAGATTTCAGTAAAGCAATGCGAACAGGTAGGCTATCAAAAGGTGTAGAGAGAAGAGCGGTACCGGCTATATCCACCTCGCTAGCTGAACCGCCAGATGCTGGGGGTTCCTCAGAGGAAGGCCCTCTAAAATTCTTCGAATCGCTCTGTAACCATCCACATGGAAGAGACGGATGTAGCATCCAAATGCTGTTCTTCAGCAATCTTTCTGTACAACTCGCTGCAAAGACGCCAGGCACGGAGAGCTGAAGCGTCGACCTCTGGTAGTAGCCAAATAGACGAAGCGCTTTTTCAATAGGTGTGATAAGCTCGTCGGCAGTGGCTATTCTCAATTTGGCCCAAAACTTCAGTTCAATAAGCAGAACAACGATCGCCTGAACGAGGTAGTGCAGGGATTGCCACCAAGTGTATGCTTCAGACAACCGAGAAAGGCTGAAATTGTCTGGGAAGAGAGCGACTATTTTCTTAGCCGAGTTATCACAAGCATCTGCCATATTTTGGTGGAACAAGGCAATCTTAGAACCCGTCATTTTCCTTCGATCATGCCGTCAAAGACAGGGACGTGTGATCATGGCTCTCTGAGGCTATAAAAAGACATCCTAGGCTCGTTGCGTCACTTCTCACAGGCATGGCCGATTGACCGAAGTTGTACTCGTGAGGCAATTGGTGCAGCCAACGCTCCGTTAAACGCCATAATGCGGATACTGATTCTTCAATATCCAGCCAAGGTCTCCGACGAGAGTCAAGCATACATAGGTTCTTTGTGACATCTTACGATATCAGAAATAGTTGGATATGGTGGAATGTGCCACGCGGAGATTTAACCCTAAGCTAATGGCTGACCGGAGCGAGATGCCAGACATTTTCCACACCCTATATCATATATTAGCGGCAAAGCCTAAAACTTACTACTTAATGCGGCAGGGAAACATAGCGAAAGCTATACCCGTTTACCTGCCACTTATTAAGAAATAAAAAGCAGTGAGCCCTTCAATTTGTATTCGTTGAAGGTCTGGATGGTCAAACAATGAACAGACACTGAGCCCTAGCACTCTAGCGGGCGTAAAATATTCCAGGTGTTTTTCAGGATAGAAGCTAGAGTCGGCTTGCATAGCTTCACAATACTTGGCTTAGATGGCGAACAGGAGATTTATTATGATCAACCACTGGGGTTTCGCAGGTGCAGGGTCGCTAGTGACATCGTAGGCCGACCAAAACTTGCGCAGGACCGACATTTCATCGATAACTGGGAAGTATCGATGTACTGTAAGAAGATCTTGACCGACGAGAAGCTGCGCTAGGTGCAATGGTGGTTTTCCTCGTGAGTCCATTGCAGTGAACCATTTAAAGATTATCCATGGTGGCGTGAACCACTTGGAATTAGCGCCGGCTGGTTGGGGATAACGGACCGCCACTAGCCATAGTAGGTTCCAAGGAGGTATCCGCCAATGCCTTGAGGTTCGCCAGTGAGAGAACGTTTCTGTAAGCCAACAATAATATAATTTCATCGACCACAGTATTTGGTGCTATGTTTAGGCTCAATATAGAAACAAAGCAGCTGCTCATGCAGGCAATAAGAACAATTAGGGATAAGCCTATCGCATTGTGCATTGCTCTCTCGGCAACACTTGCACGACGTAGTGCTCAGTCGGGGAATGATCTGATCAGGCCCGCCAACTGAAGGTACCACTAGCAGTCAATTGGTAGAAATATGTCTCTCGTTCTCAGATCTATGAATCATAGATGACGTCAAGAAGACAAACAATCGGTAATAATTTAGACAATCCTTCAAGTCCTTCAGTCGCTAGCCAGCCACCTACTGATGTCAGGTTATCATGATGTCGAGGGGTGGTTTTGAAAGTCGAGCCACAGTGAATTGACGAGTGAAAATACGCCTGTCGCAGTTGACAACGGCAATGTGCACGGGGAAGTGGGGCTATACACCATGATATCATTGGTGGATGGGACGATCGACGTTCCCGAAAGATAAGGGTTGCAAGGACATGCACGGCTAGCTCACCTTAAGCTCAGAGAAGACCCCATTGTATCTCCTTGACAATGTTATCTGTTTCCTTCCTCAATCATTGACCTTATAAACTTCCTCCCCAATGTTTGGCAACAGGTATAATAACCGGCTGGTTTTTGCAGACCATTGAATCTGTATGCTAATTGGTCTGCGATGTAGACAAAACTCTCAGAAGCCTGACGACGGTCTGATTAATAAGTTCCAGGCGACCTTTTCTGATATTTCCCGGCCTACCAAATGCGATCCCTCTGGGTATGTCTCATGCTTTTACCGTGACGTTCGCCACATTTGCGATGTCAATGCTCATCATACCACGCTGCTGGGCTTGATTCATGGGTCTCAGCTGATATATAATGTCTCACAGACTAGCGACTAACGATGACCTGAACTATTTGTCTACCCTGGACAGCTCTGGTCTTCGCTTCACGCCATTTTTTGATCACTCAATTCCCGCCTCAGATCCACATAATTCTCGCCAGTATCACAATACTGGCAGCTTCAACACAGCCTTCCATGGGCCGACCGGAGACCTGCATACACCACAACCGGAGCCAAATTTGATGACACCAAAGACGCTTCTTGGGCAATTCGCCGTCGCTCCTCTACATACAAATTATGTCGACCCATTCAAGGATAATCCAAACATGCAACAGTCTGCACACGAGCCCCAAGCTATAGCTCCTGGCAATCTGAATGTTGCGTGTCCACCTACCACATTCGTCCACTCCCACTTAGCTGATGGCGGTGCTAACAGGTCAGGCGAAGCAGTCTCTCTGGCTGACGACGCCAGTCCTCAGAACTTGAGCCCCCACCAGCTTCTTATCTCCCAAGACAGCCATTCACCGGAAAGGGAATACCGAAGCCAGGGCGATTGCCAGTATGGATTTTCTGGTTTGTAGCCAGGATTAGAGCTAACGAGTTTCTAGGTTTCGGTACCAAGTGACACTGAACACACCGACAGCCATGATGGAAGATGCGAAACACCCACCCACCACATATCTCAACAAAGCTCGAACGTACTCTCTATCAATTGTTGATACGGCGCAGCCAGTGACGAACGAAGTCGCCGTGCATCGAACCTGGATCCGTGTTACATTTGAAGATGATGAACAGGCTTCAAATCCTGCCGCTGCCTGGGCTTTGTGGAGAAACATTAGGGGACATGAGGCTTATCGGAAAGAGGGAAACTTGTATGCTATTGAGTTTGTTGATCTATCCCAAGAGAATGATGGCCAAACGTGTGATCACATCCAGCTAGAAAGAATCTCGCTAGACGGATTTTGTGTCACCTGGCTCTCAGACCCGACTACTGGACACCAAGGCTGCTCCATGGGAGTCCGCTTTCACTTCCTATCAACGGATTTTAGCCACGCAAAGGGAGTGAAAGGAGCTCCTATTAAGCTGTGCGCTAAAACTGAAGCCGTTACCTTAAACAGGGCCGAGATAAGTTATTGCAAAGTGAAACTGTTCCGCGAACACGGGGCTGAACGGAAAATGTTCAATGAAGTTTCTCAGCTGAAGCGAGCGATTGTGAGATGCAGGCAAGATTTCGTCAAAGCCGAAAACGGAGGCGAGGATATTGGGAAGCGAAAACGGGGACGACGCACAGTCAGTTACTATAGCAACAAAAAGATTGAAGGCGAGAGGAAGAACGAGCTGCAAAGAGACCTGGACAAGGAATTGGCCATGATACAAAACAGATTCCACTCAAATCGGCCTGTGACCAAGTTCTCTCTTCGCGGTAGAGCGAAAGATGATCCTGATCTATTTCCGATCATCATGGAAGATGACGAGGGGCAAAGGATCGATCGAATGGATGAACCGAACTTGCAACCCTTAACCCCATCCTCAACATTAGGCAGCCTTTCGAGAAACTTGTCATATAGTTACACGGATCACGGCTCAGCCAGACCGCGCCAAGACCGAACCCCATCAACTTCGAGTTTGTCTCCACAAGCTTCGTTGGCTTCTATTGATTCAAAGCGCAATGCACCAGGTAAGCTTTTTTCTCCAAATAGGATCTATGATGGAGCCTGACTTATCATCCTTAAGCAGTTGCATGTTTCTATCTCCGCTTTCAGACACAGGGCGCACAGCAAGATAATTACTACACAGCTGTGTATTTGACAGAGCGCACTGCGAAGGAACTAAAGACGAAAATCTCCCACAAGAAACGCTTCAACCAAGATCATAAATTACAGCTATTTCAAGTCAAAAAGGGGATAAAAATCATGATCGATGATGATGTGGTTCTGCGGATTCCAAATGGCCAGGATATGATTGCTGAAATATCAGAGATTCCGAGCAATATGGCTGCCAGTGGCTCAACTATTGAGGTTAAGTTAGATGTATAGAATCTTTCGGCACAAGCTCACGGCTTTCGCCTTAATATCTATTTCTGTCTGTCAATTAGCGGGTAAGCCTTTTACTTCATTCACAGTAGTTTAGACCTTGCCACGGACTGAGGGTCACCCTGATGACCCGGACCACGACCCGGATCATGGAGGGTCGTGGTCCGTTAGGCTTGACCCTCAGTGGGTCCAGTCCGGGTCGTCGAGGGTACGAACCGCGGAGGGTGACCCTCAGGGTCATAAACAGTGCAAACATCTGGAAATCACGAAAAATTATGCAGATTTCAGGAGTAATTCTGAGTATTCCAATTACAGGGGTTTTAGATTCTACTCTCCAGGCTTTAATTACTTCTAAAAATCACACTTATTCATGGAAATGATCAGTTTACAGATGAATCTATCTTGTTAACTACTTGTCCGATGTTTCGTATCCGTCAAGTAATCTTGAACGATTGCGGACTCTGCCTGATGCCCGGTGCTGTGTCTCTGGCAGAGGGATCACGTCCCCATCATCATCAACCTGATTCTCTCCTTCCTCATCCAAATCCTCAGTGAAGTTTTTCTGGCGTCTTTTCCCAAGTGCCTTCGCAGATGGGGCCTGAGAAGCTATCAGGGCTTGAGTGGAAGGCCCTTCATCCTCCTCGTTATCGCTGATTGGATCAAAGAATATTTGTTGCGATGTATGTTTTTTCTTCCTTTGCGGCCTGTATCTCCTGATCTGAGAGGTATTCAGAGAGCATCGTACGCTCCCCTTCCTGTATCTCAAACCTTGATGTACGCTTATACATGATAAGGTCCTGGATTGTTTGAGGGTGTAGAGAGCCTCGTCCATAATGACAGACATCTCGTGCAGAGTTAAAAAGCCGCTCTACTCCTGCACCACTAGCTGGAATAGAAAGAACATCGCGTGCAAGGTTTGCCATCGCAGGGAATTCACCTTCGTGAGCCTTCCACCAGGTTCGAGGGGGGGCATGTGAGATAGTGAGTGAAAAATCAGACTATTATTGATTCTGATGAATTTGTGGAGACTCACCACTATCAAGGTACTTTGTAAGCTCATCTGGCTGTAGCAGCTGTTGAGTCTGAGGTTGTTGAAACTTCTTTAGTACACAGAGTGACTCAAGCTCTGATATTGCCATTATGACTGGAGGGGTATCCTGATGTTGCTGGTCCTCAGTAAGATGCTCAGAATGCCTATGGAAAGAGCACTCAAAGCTTTGGCGATACTTTGCTCGGTAATCAGTCTCAGGGCTCTCTGGGTCTGGGTCCCAATCCTTAGTTGAGAAGAACTGAAGTTTATCCTGTGGAGAAAGGATTGTACCAATTGCATAGAGATAACCATCAACCTTGTCAGTATCAGCATAGTATACCGAGAGTTTCGCCTTTGCAGCTTCAAGGGATGCAAGCATTAGCTGCTTCCAGGTAACCCTCTTCCTTCTCAGCTGACCGACTTTTCAAGGTGTTCGAACAGCTTATTGTAGATCTTAAAGACTAAGTGGATAGTGACATCCTTTTTCTTTGACAGAATGGTTGTGAATTGGTGAAAAGGCTGAAGTATGGAGAGAAGATAATCAACTTGCCGCCACTGCTCCTGGCGGAGTGCAAGGTGCTCTTGGTCGTACTGGCAGCAGAAGTCATCAAAGACCTGCTGGAGCTTCCTTGCGCGTGTGAGCATCAAGAAGGTGGAATTCCATCGGGTAGCATCATCCTGGATTGGAACAAGCTTTGGCTCCTTTGTTTGCAGGTTATAAAATGACTCTCGGCGCTGAGGACATCCATTGATATAAATCGCAAGGCTACGGATCTAAGAGATAGATTAGCAACCAATTGAGTATAATATCAAGAGATCGTACCTTGTTTAGAGTATCCACAATCTCCTTTTTCTGCTTCCTCGCACGAAGATTATCCACCCGATCATCAGACCATGTCTGCTCAGCTGTATCATTCTTAGGAATAGCCTTCATCTTACCAAGAAGATCTTTAAGGCTAAGCTGGATCACATGTGCAACACATGGTACCCGAATCATAGTGATGTTTTCATTTGATTCAAGTGACTCAGTTGCCTCTTGAATGCTTGTGATCAGCGTCTTGTTGTTTGATGCATTATCAGTTGTTACTGAAAGCACCCGATCTGTGATTTAATGCTCCTGTAATAACTCGAAAAGCTCTTCACTCAAGCTTGCACAAGAATGAGCTCCATGCAAGTGTTCGAACCCAAGTAATATCTCACGATACTCCCAGTGTTGGTCAAGAAAGTATCCTGTGACAGCCATAAATGCCTGCCAAAACGGAGGCGTCCAGCAATCAAGGGCAGGAGATAACTTAGCACTAGAAGGGAGTGTCTGCAGGACATTCCTTTGCTGTTCACGGACTAAATCTCGAAGCTGCCGGCGCATAGCCTTCGCGGAAGGAACTTCTGGCATCGACGGGGCAAGCCGGACATAAGAGAGCAGATCGCGGAATTCGGGGTGTTCTAGAAAGAGAAACGGAAGGTGTGATACATTAAGGAGCTTAGCAAGCTTCTGCTGAAAAACACGATGATCGAATCTTTGTACAGGCGCATTCTGAGCCTAGAATGGGACATCAAAGTTAGTATACTAAAGTTTATAATCAGGTCTGAGACATACCGCATGCTCCAATGCAAGCTTGATATTTGGCTTCTGCCCTGCGGTTTTAATAGCTTTGCGACAGTTGAACCCATTATAATGCTTGTTCATTGAAGACGTTCCTGTATGAGCCAACATAGGGTGATCTAGCACCTTCCGGCATTGTTGGCACATAACTCCAGGCTTTCCATTTATCTAAGGGCGACTTGGTCAAAATGTTTCCAACACTGTGCATCACGTTTTGTATCCTAGGCTATCCGTTTCTTCTTACTTAAATCAGTCTGAAGCCACCATCGCACAAACTCATCACCCATTTCCTGGGAATATGGAACGAATGTTCTAATCCGGTCTGGACTGATGCGAGGAAGGCAATCGGGAGCTTTGGGGGACTCAGATAACACGTCGAGGGTCTGTTGACTTCCAGATGGGACCACATTCCTGCCGCCGTCAACATCCACGCAGATACAGGGATCCCATGGCATTGCAGGTTGCTCAAAAAATGACAGTAGTGCACAACTAATCATGCCATGGCGCATTTTAACAATCACGTCGTATTCGTATATCTGACACTAGCATTCATTTATACCATTTTCCAATAAAACCGATCAGGGTGAAGGATAGACAACTCTTTCTTGGCAAAAACGTTTTCTGGGAATATCTAGCCAACCGGGGGTCGCGAGGCCTCGAGAATTAGTTCACCGTAGTCGTAACTTCAAGCGCTTCCATCTGATACCCGTTTTGTAAGGGTGATGGCAGCGGTGATGGCGACTGGCGCGAATGCACGGAATTTGCCCCCTGTCAGGAGAGGAACACCAAAAATCACGGCCCTCGCGGACCCGCCCCGATCCATGGACGACATCGCGGAGGGGCCCCGCAGGGTGCTAAACCACATCGAAAACAATGGCTCAGAGGATCGATATGTCACTGGATATATTCGAGCTGTCCGCCAGTACGCACTCAACGCCCAACGGGGCGACGGCCAGGGAATGGCCAAGGTGCTGGAGGCGCTGACCAAGATCAACCTCGACACCGACCGTCTGAACCAGCGAATCGACACCATTGAAAGACCACGAGCGCCTTATCGACGACTTTGTCCACCCCCGCAGCGAACTCTGCGGCGGCATGGCGCACTTTCCGAGCCAGAGAATGGCAGCGCGACCTAGCCAAGGCTGCGGCACCCAACACCCGGAGCAACGGCACATCGTCTCCAGGAGTACCGGAAATCGAGCTCCGCGAAGACCGCGAGGTCATCGTCAAAGTTGGGCCAAACCGTGAACAGATCCGCGGATTGACGCCGAAGGATTTGGTTGAACGGGCGGAACGGCAAAAGACGATCTCTGCTCGGCAGAGCTCAGGGGTACTGGCTGGACAGGCATCATTCGTCGCAGCCCGAAAATTGCCCTCGGGCGACGTGGCGATGATCGCCAATAGCGCCGCCGGCGCAGAGGTCCTCCGCAAATACCCCACGTGGTTGAGGGCGTTTGGACCTGGCTCGGTGATCCAGGAACCATCCTGGGGAGTCGTAGCCTACCACATCCCTGTGAGGTCGATGAAGATTACCCCGGAGACGATGACCGACCTTGCAGCTGAACTGCTCAGGCAGAACAACTGGGGCGAGGACTCTGGGATCCAATATCTTGGATGGCTGACGCGTCCGGGTGAAAGGGCGGAGGGCTCGATCCTGATCGAGTTCACCAGCCCAGTCGTGGCTAATCGCGCTATCATCACCGGGGTCGTTTGGGGGAAGCAAATCCATAACGCATCACGATTCTGCCGCGAAGGGCGGATAAAGCTTTGCAGGAAATGCCAAAAACGGGGCATATCCAATCACACTGTTCCAACGTTTTCAAATGCGGCCACTGCGCCGGCGGACACCCGACCTGGGAGTGTCCGGTGAAGATCGCAGCGATGAATGAAGCCAAACAAGCGTTGGCGGAGTGCCCTACATATCACCTCATCCCTCTTCACTTCCGAATTGCAACAAGGTCCGACAAACCAACAAACTCGACCAGTTCAAACACTACCACAGGAGACGGAATGGAAGCGTCGATACATGCCCCCAGGAGACAACAAGAGGAAGAGCCTTCGACGGACAGCCAGGAAACTGTGATTGATCCAGTCACCGCATTCGTGGAAACAGAGACGGCACCAGAGGAGCCCACTGAAATCACACAATCCAAACGAGGCCCTGGCCGCCCAAAGGGCTCAAAGACCAGATCAAAAGTTTCCAAACCACCATTGATACCACTTGCATGCCAGCGATCAACGAGGTATCAACTGGCCTCCCAAATAACGACCCAGAAAGACGCCAATTCCAAAAGGCGCCGCACGGGCGAGCCAGAAGACGCCATGGATGAACAGCCTGATGACAACGAGTGGTTCAACATCCAGCTCAAC